AGTCTGCAGGTGGCGACATGTCGACATGCTCAGAGCCGAGACATGCAGATTTGCGAGTCGATTTCGGCTTGGACGCACATCTCGGCCTCGAAGTGGGACTGTCGGGCGGCAAACCCGAAGAGGTCGGCGTCTCCGAGCCCGAGGAGCCCGACGAATTGGGCAGTGGCGGTCTCCTCGACGACGACGACGAGGTGTCGGCCGGTCTTGTGGACGGCGACGGCGACGGCGACGGCGATGTCGACGGCGACGGCGACGTCGACGCCGACGACATGGGGCTGGAGGACGACGTCGACGCGGAAGAGGACGCCAACTACATCGGCTCGTCGAGCGACCCGAAACGTACACGCACCGCGTACACTCGACAACAGATCCTCGAATTGGAGAAAGAGTTTCACTACAACAAGTACCTGACACGCAAGCGCAGACTCGAGATCGCGCACACTCTCACGCTGACCGAGCGGCAGATCAAGATCTGGTTTCAGAACCGACGCATGAAGTGGAAGAAAGAGCATCATCTGCCCGGCAACAAGCAACGTCTCGTCGAGCCGCCTCCACCCCACACACACCTTCGCTGCCAACAGCTCACCGGCGCCAACCTCATCGCGTTGCACCAAACGCCCGGCTCCGCTACCCTCGCCGGCCTCACCCCCTCCGGACACGTCGGCAGACAATTGATGACAACGTCGACGTCGTCAACGTCGTCACCGTCGTCGTCGAGCTCGCCCACGTCCAACTCCATCGCCGCCTCCGTGTCCGTCGCTCCGCCGACGTCAACCTCGACGTTGTCTACGTCGTCGATGCCCTCCCCCGCCCGGCTCGGCCTCGTCTCGACCGGCTACCCGTCGGGCCTGTTGCCGTCCTACCTGCCGCCCGGATACCCGCTTCCCGAGGCAGAAGCGCACAACCCGCTCTTCGGTTGGCCCCCGGCCAGTTACCGGGGCGTCATGGGGCTACCGGTCTCCGAGGCACACGACGACCACGACGCCGTCTATCACGGCGGCTCCATGACTACCGGCCTGACGACCAGCGACTACATCGCCTGCTACTCGGTCGAACCGGCTCGACTGGCGCCGGTTGCAGACTCTCTGGCAGAACTCGACTCCGCGTCCGCAAGCCTCGGTCGAGTCGACTATCGAAACGAATTGTCGCGCAGCGAAACCAGCGCCGCGGTTGCCGCGGCAGCAGCAGCCGCTGCCGCTGCCTCTTTGGGCGTGGCTCTGGCTTCAGCCGCTTGTGTCAGTCCCAGAATGTGCCAGGCAGACAGTTTCGCCGGCCAGTCGGCCAGCGCCGGTCTGCTGGGCCATGCCGGTTTGGCCGAGGCCGGCCGAGACGCATTGGGCCCCGGAGACCCTTTTTCGAGGTCGGCGATGCCGCCGGGCGAAGTCCTGCATGCGGCAATGTAGCCGATTTCCTCCATTTTGCTTTATACCTCATTTCACACACCACACACACACACACACAACAATTGCTGCTCACTCGCTACTGTCATTGGCCTGTAGCTTTCCGTCTCCCTCTTCTCTGAGGCTTGATGGAACGATCTTTGACAGACTTTGCACTTAATACAAGAACCCTTGAGTTCCAGCCGAAGCATGTGTGATTTCTTGGCGGTTCTGTATATAAAGCCACGTGACTATGATGCTCCCCACCCACCATCCAGATCGTGCCTGACGCAAATCCGAAAGGTGGCTTGTTTATGTTGTAAATCACACGGTGCCGCAGACACACACACACACAAACAGACAGGCGACAAGCGAACTCGGGCACTTGTGGACAGTAAACACACAAACCCACGTATATAAGCATATAAAAGTGTAAACATAGCTCTGAAGATGCTAGTCAATTATATATGCCGAATAAAAATCATATTCATAATACGAGATGTGTTTACCCTATTTAATGTAAGATGATAAAGGTCTGGTAGTTCCATTTTCCCACAATCATATGAGCAGACACTACATTTTCATTGGATTTCACATAGCTTTGCTTCCTAAAAGGTATTCTCATCCAAGAAGGATTTGATTACAGAGCAGATGTGAAGTTCATAAAAGGCCAAGTATTTTCCCATATCTTATTCTTTGGTGCGAGTGTCGATGAAGCAAAAAGTTGTATTTCCTTTGGCTATCGACTGCACTACTTATTTTTCGTTTATAAGTAGGTTTTCGAGCCTATCAGTAGCCCAAATATATGCTATGCGTTTAACTTCTTTCGTTTAAGGTGATGAAGGACTGGCATGTGAATGGAATATCCATCGAAAAATGTGATATGGCAATAACGCATGGCCTTCCTCAAAAGTCACATCCTTCCTGTGACACAAGAACATTTGGGGCAGTGGGGCCGAGTGGTCAACGTGGAGAAACGCGTAGATACGAAGACCAAAATGTTTTGCCTTCTTTTGATGTATAGACGTGGTCTGACCTTGTTTTTGCAACTTTTTCGGGTTGTCAGGGCGACTTAGTTGGACGCATCTTGTACAAAATACTCTTCTACAGTAGTCATTATAATTCCCAGCATCGGTCCGTTGACTTATAACATTGCCAGACATTTCGTCGGCATCGTCGGTGAATCTGGTCGTTCTCAGCACCAAGCTACAACTAGTCAAACTGACAAGAGATGAGTTATAACTTGGAGCTGGAAATGCCAATATGAATGTTAGAGAAATGCCTGAGAATATGATAACTACGAGAACAGAGGAGTTCGGACAAGGTGCGTCCAACTAAGCCTGGCTGACAGCACAACCAAGTTGCGAAAACGAGATGAGACTATATCTACCAAAAACGCGAGTTCGAGTCCCGCTAGGGGTCTACTTCGGCGGAGATGAAAATAGCTTTTTGGAAGCAAGGCAATGCGAAATTCAATTCATACTCATAATGCATAATTTTATAGTATTTCGGTCCTATGCACTCTGACGATTTGTGAGCTGACTGAGACTACCGCTGAAGTGTCCTGTAATGAACCCAGTCAACGGTCCGATGTTGGAAGCCATCATGTCCAAAGTTGACGCAATGCTCACGGATTGATGTGGGGATCTCATAATGTTTTCATGTTATTGGATTCAGCAATACAGTTACCGGACCCAGCTTTCCTTCAGATATGCGAAAGTGGAATGCGTTTCGAGGAATCTCTTTCGTCTCACACTTTTTAAGCTCATCGGCATTTCGAGTGCAAATGTGTGCCGAAACAATTCCATATTCCATCCTATCAGAAAACGACGGCAGAGTTCTCTTGGCGAGCTGTCATCTTGCCTAGCCTGAACCTGTTGATTGACGCTGTCGCCGAGGTGATCTCGTTCAATCTCGGTGACAACGGGAAAAACATGTCCTTTTATTGCTAATGGAAGATTGTTTGGAAGAAGCTCGTGAATTGCTCAGAATGTAAATCGAATAAGGATTAGCTTCTTCGCAAAATCCGACAACATTTCCTGCAAGACAATCCTCTTCTGGTTTCTGGCAAAACTTACCAACTTTCCCTTCGAAATGGAAAGTCATGTCACAATAAATAAATTACTAAGGGACACTTAATTACTCGGCTTTCCCTCATATAACCTAGTAGTATGCAAAAGTAGTACCACAGGCAATTACAGACAATCTGGCATTTAACGATGTTATGAAAAAAGCGACTTCTGAAAGAATTAATTAGAGACTTACTTAGAAGCACTAAGGCAGTTTTCGAATTCCACTTTTGCTCATGTGTACTATGCTCTCAATATATACGAAGAAAAGTTGGGATTACTTCCATTTCGAGTAGAAATGTTGGGTGAAGAGATTCGAAGGTCGGTTCCACCAGAAGATGACGGCGAATCCCTCTTGACCAGCTGTCGATTGGCTTTACTGGAAGATTCATGCTGACGCTGTTTCCGAG